TAGGAGGGAAGACGGCAGCAAGGGCCATCAGGAGCTCTGGGGCGGTTGGCATCAACATCAATTGAGTCGTTGGAAAGGGGATGCCGGCAAAGCACGGGAGACCTGAGGGGGGATTTTACTCACCAGTTGGAGTGATGTCTGCGTAACACAGAGGCCCTAGGGAAGGTTGAGGGTCTAGGTCTCCTCAAAGCCCTAGGCAGCTCCCAGCACCACCTCTTTGGAAACCCAGGAACCTAAGTGCCAAGACTGCTCTGGGAAACAAGAATCTCACCCACCCGTGTTCTCCCCAGAGTCTTGAATCCAGACTTCCAGTCCCTGCTTCTTAAGAAGCCAGAAGTCTGGGCCCAGCCCTCTCTTGTCACTTGAGGTCAAGCATTTTCCAGGAGACGATAATCTGAGCTCACAGTTTCTCCTCCGTGGGGTTCAGGAGGCCGGGTTCCCTTCCTTAGGTGTCCTGGCTGCCACCCCCTCCCACATCAGAGTGTAGGACATTCCCATCCTCAGGACGGAGGGGTGGCTCACAGCGGGTCAGCAGCTGAAGAGTCAGCAGGAGGACCATGGCAGGCCGGTCTTGGCCAGGAGCAGGAGCCAGGGCTGAGCCAATCTTCTCCTCTTCCAGGAATGAGGCAACAGCAGAAAGTCAGAGCCCTGCCAGGGCTGAGCCAACCTTCTCCTCTTCCAGGAAATGAGGCAACATCAGAGTCAGAGCCCTGCTTCGGAAAGGAGCTGCAAGGGGGAGGGAGGGGAGCGCTGGGCGTGTCTCGGCCCCACGGTACTGTGGGGACATGCTGGGAGACAAGGGTCGTCATAACGGTGGTGTCCTTATGTGCCAGAGCTGACGCGCAATTCTGGGAACACAAACGAACTGGATGCAGCTACGGCCCTCAAGCTGCTCCCCATCTGCTGGAAACATTGACAGGACGAGACAGGTAAGTGTTTATTTAAAAAAAAAAAAATGATGTGAGCTACCACGACGGTCCCAGAGGACGCTGTCGGGATGCACGAAAGGCCCCGCACCCTCTGGGACGAGAGCTCGTGTTGAGCTGCCACGTCAGTGACAGGGTGGCCATTTGCGCTTTCCCAAGCTCCCGTTTCTCCGTCTGCAAAACGGGCTTGCACACGTCAACTGTGACACGCGACCCTTGCATCCTGTCCTAGGACGGGCCGGGCGGAGGTACTGGGAGCGTGTCCTCCGCAGCGGCTTCTCGGCCGAGACCCGAGCGGAGCGGCGGCAGGTGTGCCCAGACAGGCGAGCGCCCCACCTGTCCCGCAGCGCCGCGATCTCCACGCCCACCGCAGGGACCGCTGGTCTGCGCCACGCGCACGCTGGCACTCGGGCGGCGGACTCGCCTGCCCGGACCACCGCTCCCAGCTTGCTCGGTGTCGCGTCCACGCCTCGGACTTGTACGCGTGTACGCACACACCTGCTCTAGGGAGGCTGACGCGCAGGGACTACAACTCCCAGAGTGCTCCGCGCCTCCCCCGCCTTCGACAGCTGTTTCGCGCTAGTGCGCACACGCGGACCCAGACAGCAGCGCCCGGCGCGAGGGACCACAACTCC